ACATCTTGCATTATACACACACAAGGTAAAGCACACCACTTGAAGGAACTCATAAATTTTGTGCGTTTTTAAAAATAAATAACGCCACTGACGACGACGACAACAACAACAACAACAACAACATTAAAAACAATAGCAGCAACGTTACGTTGCTCTCGCGCATAGTGCTTTCGTAGAAATCACCCCAGTACACACCCTTTTCATTGCAAGGGTGGAGGTAAGCAGAGCGTATAAAAATAAAAGCATGCGGCTGCTGTTGCCATTGCATAAAACTGTAACAACAGGAAAAATCAATAAAAGTTAATGCGAAAGTATACCGTAATAATAGGTAACTTCAATAGGCATTTAATTAAGTTGTTTTAAAACAAAAAGGATTTATGTATGAAAATGAAATAAAATAATTAAAATGCAAAAACTTGCAAGTTTTATCTATTAAAAGATATCAATAAAAATGCAACATTCTACAATTATATCGTGCTTTATAAATAATACAGAATCAGAAGAACGAGAGCGAGAGAGAGAGAGAGAGAGAGAGTCCAAAAGCAAAGTACAAAAAACTCCGGCTAACGATTAAATGGCAAAAAAGTTTTTCGCCATAATGAAAAAACAAACAACTTATGTCTGGTGTCTCACCTTTTGTTTAAAATCTTCGATTTTAGAGAACGAATTGCAATTTTATTAAATTTTCTTTAAATTACATACTTTTTGAAAATTTATTTTTTTATTAACACATAGACACTTTATAAAGAAAACAATCGCAACAAACTTGCCACTATCCAACGGGGGTGGCTAGTAAGTATGTGCAATTTTTTCTTTTTGATAAATTTTTTAAATTAAATTTTATATATTTTTCCTTGGTTTTTGTTGATTATTTTCCAATTGTATTAAATAAATAATTTTAAAAGCACCCACAGAAGTAACGACCGGTTTTCTCTTATAATATTTGCACTTTTTTATATGCTTTGCAAAAAAAAAAAAAAAATTTGTTCATTATACACCAATTCTTATTTAACGCACAAAATAACCCCCGTCCATCAATACTCACAACCTTCCGCGGCAACAACAAATTCACGACTGATGAAAAGTTAAGATTTAGATTTAATTCATGTAAAGTGGTGATTCTCTCTCATTTTCAGACTGGAGTAAAACAATAATTTACAATTAAAGAAATCTTCTCTTAGAGCAAATGAAATTAAAGTGGACTACACGACACTTTTTATGCGCCACGCACAATGCATAATGCAAAGTCAGTTAAAACGCGTAGCTTTCATGTGTTGCTGTAGCTAGCGCTTGCTTAGGTAAACGGAGTTCAGAATTAATGAAAGGAGAAATTTCTTTGAACAGTAGCGTTTTTAAAGTTACTAATGATGCATGTTCATGTACATTTAAATACGTACACTCAATATTGTTTTGACAGTTCGAGAACCACGCATAACGCAAGCATTGTGTTTTTCGCTTAATGGTGCCAAATAATCAAAGCAATCTCCTCTCTGAAAATTCAGAGTTAAACTAAATTCAAACTAAATAACGAAAGACAGTATTCTCTCATACGCTTATGGGACATGAACAGTTAGTAGACGGTATTTGTGGGAAATGAACGGTTAGTAGAGGGTATTTGTGGGACATGAACGCAACACCTCGTAGTAGAACTTTTGATTTGGAGGGGAAATCTTATTTGGGATATTTAGTTTTTGTTTTGATTCTAACGATTTATTGTTGATTGCTTTTTATACGTCAAACTCTCGAATTTGATAAACAAACATCATGACTTTATTCGTTTTGGAAAAAGAAACATTAAAGGGATTCGCTAAAAGTTCTCATGTTCTCTCGTAATTAAGAGAGACAAAATGATTATGTAAACAAACACTAATTCAACTTTTTTTTTTTTTTAGGATGTTGAGTTCGACTACAATCCATAATATAACTGCTCATTAATATAATAATTAAAACTTAAAATGAATGTTTCAAAATAAAAATATCGATCTGGTGTCCGTGTATGTATTTTTTGTTCTAAACAGTAATCTGATGCCTTACACTGCACTAAGCTTGAGTTCAGGGGAAATCATTGGGCAGCAATGCTATACGAACTTTCTATAAACAACTAAAATTGCCAATTATTCTGATTTAACAGACATTATTCTGAGAAGGAAAAAACATGAACTTTTCTTTCTCCTTGAATTTTATATGGCGCTTAAAGTAGATGTTGTGGCAGCGCTTAAGTCAAAAAAGTAATCAGATCTGATAACTAAATAGCATTCTTATGGCTGTCGAGAATGGGTCGGTGCGATGGACAGAATTTGATTTGTCATTAAAAAAAAATACCGTAGCCTATCTCATGTTTTCATACTATCTCATGCAAATAACGCACGTATGAAATGAAATCTTTTTTGCTTTGTAATGCAATCATTTTTCCCTTAGCTAACGTTAACTTGGAAAATTGATGTTGCTAATAGTACTTCTTGACAGATTCTAAAGGACCTTAAATTAATTTTATTTAATGATATTTATACCAGGCAACAGTCAGTATGGTCGATTGCTCTGGATTCTGTTTTAAGATGTTTACATAGCTCATAAAATTACTTTATATGGTGGAAAAAGAGAGGAAAAGTAAAATTAAAAAAGTCGATCGATGACAAGACTTAAATTCGCGGTTTCCCTCGGGTCAAATCACTTTCCATCTATAATCGAATTTCTCTGTTATCAATCCTAGTCAAGCAAACCGTATTCCTAAGCTAAAGACAACTGGAAAATTTAAGTTTTTCTTTAGATTTACGAAAGGATTTCACGAAAACTGAAAAATTCTTACTACTATTTCTCATAATGCGCTACATTTCATAAATAATTCAGTTTACTTGTTTTTCAAAACAGCATCAGATGAGGAGCATGAGATGTTAGCGTGCTATGGTTCATAAGTCACAATGATTTCATATCAAAATTGCAATTCAATGATGAATTTTACTGCGAATTTGGTCGCTAATCTCATGCTTATACAATAGCCTTAAGTTGGCTTAGCGCGAATCATTCGTCAATTGGAATGGATTAAATGATCCATTTGAATTATTTACAAAAGTTATGGACTATTTGCAAATGTATAATCAAGGCATCTTTTCGGAAAGAAGATATTCTAAAAACTATTCGTAGGCTCTTCCTAGAACTTCGATCAGAAAAGAAGAAGATACATTCGCGTTGTCTTTTAAACCTTAGAATCATTATGGATACTATAAAAACGGACATGTATTACTCTTAAAATGATATCCAAATGCAGAAGGCAATCATCGGCATCTTAAAATTTCAATTTCCTTCGTCGGATCCGGGTAATTAAATTACAGTATTAATGAATTGCTTGCACGGAATGTGCAACGGTATGGACATAAAAAATCTGAAGCGGAAGAAGCTACCATTTCGGTTCCTATAAAAATTGTATAAAACTATCGAGGAGACGTACAAGGGGAGATGAATGCATATTTTTTATACATTTATATAAACAAGATTATATATTATATTTCAAGCACTTGTATGAATATATGGAAAGAATTTTCATTAAATTTGAAGGAGGCAATGCTCCTATCATGGGTAGCTTTTAACTTAAAAATGAATACTCTATTCTCTCTTCGAAATCTGTACAAGGTTCCTATTATTGTAGATTAAAATTGAAGATGGGCTCTAGTAGATCAATTTTTCGTATTTTTCCTATATAGGCTTTCTGATCAAAAGTAAGCCTTTATAAGATACTTATTGTACTTATTGTTTACTTTTTGGTATTCTGCGACTAAGATGGAAATTAACTAATTAATTTTTTATTTATAAAGATTATTAATCTCATCGTTAAGGAGAAGCGTATATGCGTACCAAAAACCCGAATATCAGCAAAGCCTACAATGTGTCAATTAATTGTTATTATTTGTTTAATTATTAATTATTATTTGTTTAATTTGTATCGTAAGTTAAAATACCTTGTTTTACTGACTGTCTATTTCAGTGAATTGCTTACTATAAATTACGCTCTTTTAATGAAATAATTTACTAACGACTTGTTACATAACAGGATAATGCTGAGTGTAAAAAATGCGGTCAAAGTTGATCATAACTTTTCATTTTCCCCTGTCAAGACGACCGTTTTAGACCCGCGCAAGTCCGCCTGAGTGGTTAAAGGTAAAAAATCTCGACTGGCAAGGCAATGGTCGTGGTTTTGAATCTCAAGAGCGATAAAGTTTTTAATAAAGCCGATAGCCTTGGGGTGCTAGCGTTTTAAGATTTTAGTCTTGGAATTTATTTCTCTGACTAAATTAACAATGATAATAATAATGGATACGCCAATTATTTGTGACGTATAGTAGTACAAGTGGAGTGGTAGGGTATAAGTCCAAAATTCCTTCTCGCTATTAGGGGGAATCATGACTGTGTAACAATATGTTAAAATCGTAAAACTCCACAAGCCGAACATGTCCCCAACATTTTAGTTGTACCTTTACTCACCTATGAATTAAGAAAAAAAAAAAATTTAATATGAAATGTGATAAAAACACGACGTATAAGCTAGTCATGGATATTAAAAATTCTTTCTTATTTTACTTTGTTATTTTATTATTTTTATTTACTTGTATATGATTTGCGATTATAATGGTAACACAAAGAAATTTATTCTCATTTTTTTTTTAATTAAACAAATTTCATATTTCTAAAAAAAAAAAAAAATATATATATAATTAATCATACATTAAAAAAATGTAAAAATAGCACAAAATTAATCTCTTTCTCGAATATTTGCGACGATACGAGTATTATATGAGCTGAGTATTTATTAAGTTATATTAAGTAAAACTTGGAGATCAAAGTTTTAGGTAATAAAAAATAAAACGGTTAAAACGTTTTCACTTAAACTACAATAATAATACAATAAATGCAGTTCTCTTATGGTTTCCGTCATTTCTTTACAAACTAAAATAAAAAAAAATAAAAAAAACTTAAATGTTAACAAAAGTTAACAAACAAAAAAAAAAAAAAACAAAACAAAACGTCCAAAACATAAACACATTTCTGTATAATTTATAAAACAAACGAAAATATGAATTAATAATGAATTCAGTTTAATAGTTACATATAACATAAAATTTTTCCATCTTATATATGGAAAGAAAAAATTTCCTCCTACATCCTAAATATTTTTTTCTCAATTTTTTCTGGAATTATCATGAATGATAATTTTATTTTTCTGCCTTGTTACTTTAGTACTATTCGTATTGATGGCTAATTTTTTGAGATTTTCTTGAGGTATTGCTATAGCAGATGTCTCTTTATCTTTACGCCCTTTATAATTAGCACCGTCATCAGAGTTTAATGAGGATGAGGCAATTGGATTTACTCCCGATTCATTTTGACCTGCGCTGGCATAACGCGTCAGCACTTGAAATTTAAATAATTTATTTTTTGTTTCTCTTCCTTTTTCCTTAAACTTATCTAACGGCTTATATTTGCTCAAGCCGTTATCGTTTAGAGGACACATTTCCATTTCCGCCATTTTTGACGATTTAAACATTTTATGATTAATCATTGAATCCGTGTCCGAGTAAATTGCACCATTAGAATTATTAGCAGCCAAAGATATATTATTATTTCTCAAAACTCCCAGATTAACTTGCGAATCGGTAAAGCTTGTTGAACTGTTCGCGGTTTCCTCTACCAAATGCCTTAAAATTAAAGCCTTTTGTATCTCATGCTGTCTCTGCAATAAAACAGTATTCCGTTCTCCTTCTAAACGGGCCTGGCGTACGGCGTTTGATAAAACTCGTTCTTTCCATTCCCAGGCATCTTTTTCACGTTCCAGTTGCAGTATCTGTAACTCCAATTTGCGTGATGAGTCCCGTAAATCAATGACTTTATTAAAATATTTGTACAGCATAGTTCGCATCTCCTCTAGCGATAGCTTATTTAGCCTGGCCATTAACATTTGTTCACCTTTTTCCCTTTGCAAACGATCGCTGGTATCTATCGATTTATGGCCACAAATTAATTCGTTTTTAAATTCAATTGCGGCATCTATGGCTTCGATAGCTTCATCGCACTCTAACAGTTTGCGCTCTTCTTTCTGGGTTAGATTCTTGTCCCTTTTAAGCTTACGATCCAAAGAGCATCTTTGATCCAATAAATGATCACGAGTGCGACGTAAATTACGTATTTCGTGCCTCAAAGTCTCTCTTTGTTCATCATCTCCATATTGCTCCAAGTTTTCGGATTTTTCCCTAAGCACATGATCCAAATGCGAAATCCTCGCCTGCATTTCTTTCAAATGTTTTCCTTTTTCTTCTGGCGTTTGATTAGCTACTTCGAGTTTTAACAAACCCTTGCTATTCTCCTTTTCTTTTAAATTTTTCAACTCATTTTCTAAGGCTTGCTTAAGTTTGCGGTCTTTCTTTACCTTTTTTTGCAGTTCCTCAATCATTTTCTTAGATTCTTGCAATGATTGCTGCAGTTTCTTAATTTTTTGACCACTTTCGCCAGCTATATGCTTAATGGAGGTGACATCTTTGAGTCTCTGCTCCAAATGTTGCATAATGGCCTTAAGTCTTTCGCATTCTTGCTTATCCTTACCATTAACCATGGCTTTGGTTAATGACTTCTTGGTTTTTTCATATTCGGCCTCCAATTTGGCTCGCTTTTTATGGAATTTCTGCTTAGCGGTACTACGCGTGTCAGAATTCTTCACTAACTCCATAATAATGTTCTGTTTCAACTGCATAGTCTCTTCTACTTCTTTTATTTGCCTTAAACGTGCTTCTATATCTATGTCTAACTTGCGTACTTTTTTTTGTATATGCTCCAGCGGAGCATTGGAATGGGTTCTTAATGGCACTTCTGTCGAACTATCTAAGAATTCGTCATTTTGTTTTTGCTTAAGGTCTTGTCGCTCGCGAGACGCCACCTGATTTAACATGGCTATTTCAGCACTGGATAAGGTTGTTCCCGGCTGTAAAGATCTACGTCTTCCACCTATGGAAGGTTTCCTTTCTTCTACATCTGAATGCTTAGCCTCTTTTTTAATTGTTTTAAGACTTTCTTGACTTTCCATCACAGCCCTTGGATGAGTTTCCATGAATTCTTGATAACGTTCTTTTACCAACCGGTCGGTGCTTATTGATAACTCTTCCATCAAAGTTTCCAGTTTCTCTTCCAAATCAGGCCTTTGCGATTCCGAATCAGATTCATTGTCCGACTCATTGTGTTGACAAGTCTCCGGTTCGCTAATCGCTTCATCTGGTTCTTCCGCTTCTTGAATAGGCCCTAATTGCTTCTGAGAAGAGCGCATTATCTCATTAGAACTTAAACATTCTTCACATTCCTGTTTCAAAAAAAGCCATTCTTCAATCTGCTCCTTATCCAACTCAGCCAAGTTGTAAGAAGTAATCAATCTATAAGAAAAACCAAAAAATATTTGCAAAACTCGTTTGTAACAGTAAAATTGTCTTACTTGGAAAGTAATCCTTCAGCATTGGCTACTAATTTAAACCATTGGCTTGCTGCAAATTGTAAACCGATTTGTTCCTGGATTTGAGGCTGCAGGGCATTTGTTACTCCACTTGCTATATCAGGCAACAGACTTTCTGGTGTTATAGGTGTATTGTCGTCAGAGAATGTATTCATTACAACATAATTACGAACACATTGCACTTTAAAGGCAAACTGAAGATTACACAGGGTTTCGTTGACATCTCTTTCAAATGGCGATACACATAACATAACCAACGTTTGAGCACGACCTCCGAACGAATCTTTCAGTAGCGTCGTTAATGTAGTTTGATTGTAAGGTATATTTCTATTAGCACCAGGATCAGTTAACGCATTAACCACCTGCTCAAGTGATTGTAAGCCTATGTCCTTAGGTAAACTCGAAGGTTGCTCCAAAGCATTTAACATGAACAAACGTTCAGTCGCAGCGAGATCGGAGAAACTAGCAGTCGATAGACGATGCTGCATCAAACCCTCCTTCGATACCCATTGTTGCTCCAAGGTCAAAGTAAACAGAGAATGCGCCATTTCTCGACGACTGGCGTTCAACGTATTTAGACCGACTTGTAACCAGTGGAACACATCCGTTAAGCTAACGCAATGTACATTACCAACTCCCAATAGATCACGTATAACTTCTCCGCAAATTTCAACCCAACCGATATTCACAACATATGTGCGTTCTGGGTGATTGGCAATGTGCGCAAAAATTTCCCTAGCACACCTTTGCACTACGCCCTGATCAGCTTCGCTACAGCCGCAATCAAAGCCATGGCCGTATAACGTATACGTTTTTCCAACATTCCTCTGGCCATACGTAACCACTGAAGCATCAAATCCTTCCATGAATAAACTTACCAAAGGAAAAATTGTTTGATGGTAGATCTCATTCTGGCCGCAGTGAGGTTGCAAAGCGTGGGTCACCGGAAACGAATGGGGGCCCACTTGGATGAGTCCTGTCACCATACCTATACCATTCTCTAAAAAAACAGGCGCGGTATTCGTAGTCAAGTTTATGGCCTTCACACAACATTTTGTTTCCTTCTCTTCCTCGGGAGCATCGTCGTCTGGTTTAGGCAAAAATGCTGTATCTTCTTGCACCCCTGCATTTTTGGCCTCATCGACATTTAGTATGGTATTAGGTTTCTCCTTAGGCAGAATGGGACAAATGCGCACAGCTACTTGCACAGGTATTTCCATTATGAAGAGATCTAATTCTAATTTATTGATTAAGGAGGAACAAAAATATTGCCATTTTCAAGAATAGCAAAAAAATGTACTTTTTAAATAGATTTTATCGCAAGCGTTTTCACCAAAGAAAAATTATAAGAATTTTTCAATTTTCTACGGTTTCCAATTAGTTATGTTGCTGCTGAAATGAGTACACTGTTATCGCAAGAGATGTAAATCAAAGTAGTAAAAACAGGGAAAGTGATTTTTGTATTACAGCGGCCTTTTCCTTTTACTGAATTTGGTTGCCCCTGCAATTGGGAAACAAATTGAAGATCTTTTTCATTTTTTCTGAAACAATAAAAAGTAGTAATTTAGATGCACTATAGATTCATATTTTATTATGACAGATTTGTATTTGTTTTTTTAAAGTCGGAGTTGTCATAATTTAATGCGCAAGCAATCAACTGTGTAAGAAGGAAGTATTTCTTTTTGTACGCCATCGCGTGTACTTGCTCGCGTTTCTTCTTAATAATTTACAAGTTTATTGAAAAAGTTATAAATCTCAACCGATATACATATTCATTCCTTACCAATGTCTAAAAGACGCATAGAGGTCGGCGAGACGTACAATAGCAAAATAAAAAAGTGAGTAATAGTATAAAGTACAACGATGTAGAAAATGTGATTTTTTCGCGACTTTGTAGGGATGACTTGGCTTCATCTTCAGGAGCCGGAGTAGCAAACAATTCCGCTAACTCTTCCACAGGAGGAATCGCCGCAAATCGCCAGCCGGGTTTTTTGAATCCTTATAATTTGAAGCCATATTCGCAGCGCTATCACCAATTGCATAAAAAACGTCTCACCTTACCAGTATATGAATATCAAGCTGACTTTATGCGTTTATTAAATCAACATCAATCTATAGTGTTAGTTGGTGAGACCGGTTCCGGTAAAACAACACAAATTCCGCAATGGTGTGTCGAGCATGCTTTGTCAGTAGGCGGCAAAGGTGTAGCGTGTACGCAACCGCGTCGTGTTGCTGCAATGTCAGTAGCTCAGCGTGTTTCTGAGGAAATGGATGTAAATTTGGGTGAAGAGGTAGGTTATTCTATACGTTTTGAGGATTGTTCTTCGGCAAAAACCGTGTTAAAGTACATGACCGACGGCATGTTGTTGCGCGAAGCGATGTCTGATCCCATGTTAGAGCAATATCAAGTTATTCTTTTGGACGAAGCTCACGAACGTACATTGGCCACTGATATTCTAATGGGTGTTTTGAAAGAGGTTATAAGACAAAGATCGGATTTGAAATTAGTTGTTATGTCGGCTACTTTAGATGCGGGTAAATTTCAACAATATTTTGATAATGCTCCATTAATGAACGTGCCAGGCAGAACACATCCTGTTGAAATTTTCTATACGCCAGAACCGGAAAGAGATTATCTAGAAGCTGCCATACGCACTGTAATACAAATACATATGTGTGAAGATATCGAAGGTGATATACTTATGTTTCTAACCGGTCAGGAAGAAATAGAAGAGGCTTGTAAACGTATAAAGAGGGAAATTGATAATTTAGGGTCAGAAATTGGTGAACTAAAATGCATACCTTTGTATTCCACGCTACCACCCAATTTGCAACAACGTATATTCGAAGCGCCGCCGCCGCGTAATGCTAGTGGAGCAATAGGACGTAAAGTTGTTGTTTCCACGAATATAGCAGAAACTTCTCTCACCATAGATGGTGTAGTCTTTGTCATTGATCCCGGTTTTGCCAAACAAAAGGTATATAATCCCCGCATACGCGTAGAAAGTTTGCTAGTGTCTCCAATCTCTAAAGCTTCAGCACAACAACGCGCTGGGCGTGCTGGACGCACACGTCCCGGTAAATGTTTTCGTCTTTACACCGAGAGGGCTTATAAGAATGAAATGCAAGATAACACCTATCCAGAAATATTAAGATCAAATTTAGGTAAGTGTTTACAGTTATTTGCGTGTTGTGTACCCGCATCAAAAGGACATTTTTTTTTTTTTGTTCTCATATTTATTAGGGACGGTGGTCCTACAATTGAAAAAATTAGGTATTGACGATTTAGTGCACTTTGATTTTATGGATCCGCCCGCACCAGAAACACTAATGCGTGCTCTGGAACTTCTCAACTATTTAGCTGCTTTAGATGATGATGGCAATCTTACAGATTTAGGTGCAGTCATGTCGGAATTTCCTTTGGATCCTCAATTAGCTAAAATGTTAATAGCTAGTTGCCAGCATAATTGTTCCAACGAAATTTTATCTATCACCGCTATGCTGTCGGGTGAGAACACCTTTTTAAATAATTATTATTATTATTTCGTTTTCAATGAAATATTTTAAGAACTTTAGTCAAATTAGTTGAGTTTCATAGGGTGCAGGGGGTAAAAGGGGTAACCTCGCCCCCGGGCAAAATATTGATACTCACCATCTAGAGTAGATCACGTACTCTCGTTGCAGACGCACTAGTACATGGGGTGGCTAAGGGATTGGAAACCGGTTTACGATCGAACATGACTGGCAGGTTACAATTTCAATAACGGCAAGCACTTTGTTGAAGCATTTTAATGCCCAACAGTTCAAGGCGTCTCCGATGCGTATTTCAACTCATTAGAAACATTTGGCAGCTTAATATATTCACTGTGGTGGGTAGAATAAACTTAATAGTGTCGTTGTAACTACAAACCAAAAAAGTATCCTCTGTTAGTCATTAAAAAATAGTAGCTTTCTGAATTAATTTTGAGACCATACTTCCACATATTAATTGATTAAATTCAGTAGAGACAGATTTTGGACCTTCTAGCTTTAGTTAAAATGCAAAAGAAAAATGTGTGCAGTATGTTCAGTTATACTATTGCATCTAAAAAAACTTTGTCTTTTGCATTTGCCACGAAAAACTCAGTTTCAAGGGCGTTTACATTAACATAAAATTAGTTTCAATTGTGCCTTTTTTTTTTTTTTTGTTTTAAAAATGAAATTTTAGTAAAATCTTTGTTAAAATATATATTGTTGATAATCGCTCTTGAAACTTTTTGCACAAAAGTTTTCTCTCTTACCGTCGTTTTCCTCCTTTAGTTATTCTTACATGTGTTCTTGTTGTTGTTGTTGTTATTAAACATCTAAAAATATTGGATATAAACTTAAATTCTATTACTTTAACTGTACAAAAACCTATTTGTTACCTATATTGAGAACCATGAATGATCATCATAAACAAAACTTGTGTGAACGGGTGTATGGTCTGGTAAATTTTTTCTATAAAAAAATGGAAAAAACCAAAACCAAAAACCCCCAAACACAAAATGCCTTTTTCTTCTTTATGGCCATGAATTTCAATTAACCAAAATAAATAAATAAATAAAAATGAAAAACAAATCAACAAAACAATATATACAAAAATCAAACAAAACAATAAATGAAATTATAATGGTGATGATGAACAAATCCTACAATTAATGGGATCAGTGCCTCAATGTTTTGTGAGACCAAACGAGGCCAAAAAAGCAGCCGACGAAGCAAAAATGCGTTTCGCTCACGTCGATGGAGATCATTTAACTTTACTGAATGTCTATCACGCCTTTAAGCAAAGTGAGTTGCTTATATAATTCTTATTTCACTAGATAATAAAAAAAAAAAAAAATTATCTTCCACAGGTAGCGAAGATCCTAATTGGTGCTACGAGAATTTCATTAACTTTCGATCCTTAAAATCGGCTGATAATGTACGCGAACAATTAGCTCGAATAATGGATCGTTTCAATCTAAAACGTAGCAGCACAGAATTTACTTCCAAGGACTACTATGTTAATATACGTAAAGCTCTGGTTCAGGGCTTTTTCATGCAAGTCGCCCATTTGGAACGCACTGGTCATTATCTAACAATTAAGGATAACCAAATTGTGCAGTTGCATCCTTCCACCTGTTTGGATCATAAACCCGATTGGGTTATATATAATGAATTCGTTTTGACCACCAAAAATTATATACGTACCGTAACCGATGTTAAACGTAAGATCACTTTTATATATATAAATTATTTTTTTTGCATAAACAAATCTTTTTAAACCCTTTTAGCGGAATGGCTACTTACCTTAGCTCCGCAATACTATGATATGAATAATTTCCCACAGTGTGAGGCTAAAAGACAACTGGAGATGTTACAACAACGTTTAGAATCTAAACAATATCAGAAAGGCTTTTAAAGTATCTCTTTTTTTTTTCAATATTTCCCCTTTTTTTCTTTTCCATTTACATTCTCTTAACCCCAGAAGAATTTTTTTGTGTGATTGAAATAAGTAATTGTTTTTAACTTTTGCGGAAAGGAACGATGTTAAAATGTGTGTTAGTTTTCATTTGAAAATATTCCTAAAAATATAAATGAAAATTTTATGAATACAAGATCACTTTATAAGAAATAAACATAATAGTAAAAATAAAAAATATCTTTTCTTTCAAATGTTATTGAGTTTTTTGAGAAGTGCTACATAAATATGCACGGACTGAGAAGAAAAATGAACGCTGTTTGCGGATGCAATTTTTATATCAATGCAATTTATATATATTGGAATATTCGATTCTTGATTTTATAGCAAGCAGAACTCTTCGTCAACGTTGTGAAGGTAAGATTGAAGTAAACTTGGAATGGCGTCTTTGAATATATGTAGCATAGTGCTGTCAATTTCAAGATAAACTTCCCAGAAGAATGAATTATAAGTTTAGGCTTTTTTTTCTTTGTGATTAGGAAGAAAAACAATATCCAAGACCTACATGTTTTAAATCACTTTTGCGTTATTCTTGATTTTCGAGTTTTATTTTCAAATATAAAATAAAAGTTATACTTTATTTTAGGAATTTTTCACTTTCTCCGAGAATCTTGTTAATTGCATACAGTATTGGCATTAAAAATTTCAATCCAAT